TTCCAGGAGGACACCTGAGGCACCACCCAGCCCCCCACCAAGAGGTGGAGGCCAGGGGAACCCAGATGGACTCCTTGAATACGATATCGCGGGCCTCCCACGGTCTCAGAATGGCTGGTTCCAGGCACACAGAAGTTGATTCTGGAACTCCTGTGGGGGGAGGGGAGACCGTTGGCTGTTGTGAGCGTGTGTGCCCGCAGGACTTGTATCCTCGGGAGCACAGGTCCTCCGTGTGACTGGGCAGCAATGAAATCTAGTGTAACTCCGAGAGGAGCGTTTTCCCCGGCCCCTCTTCTGCAGGACGAGGGCCATGGTGTGGGGGTCTCACATCCGCTGTCCCCGCCGCCAGGAGCAGCACCAGGAGGCAGCCATCGATAGGGACAGCTTGGCTGGCTGAGCATCACCACCTGTCCAAGGTTCGAATAGACTGAGGGGCAGACACTCCCAGGGGCTTGAACCTGAGACCCCAAAGTGTGTGCCCTGCCCCTCCATGTCCCTGCCCGGCTGGCCCAGACTAAGCTCCAGGAAGGCCGGAGGTGCCTACCCGTTCTCTTGTGAAGTTTGGGGGCCGTGTCGGTCATGCATGCGGGCATGCCCCCCGCCATGGGGACCCCATGTTTGCGGCGTGCTTCACCCTAAAACAAACTCATGCGGAAGTGCCAGTGCCATTTTGGATGGAAGTCTGGGACGACATGAAGGCAACAAGGGACAGTGTGGAGAGAGGCTAAAAATATTGTAGGATTTCTGTCTACCTTTTCCAAGAGAAGAACCAAGGCTCCCTCTGGCCTGGCCTTTCTTCCCAGAGGCTCCTCTGCCACTCAGCTCACCCAGCAGACACCTGCTGGACGGGCACCCTCTGAGCCAGGCCCCGGTGGGGGAGGGGGAAAGGTGCAGGTCCCCAGCCACAGGTCCCACGTCCCCATCCCCAGATGCTCGGCCTGGTGGCCCCCAGAGCTCTACAGCAGAACGGAGCCAAACTCACATCTCTTGGAGCCTCTGCCATGTCACTTGTGAAGGAGGATGGGTGGTAGCAGCCAGCCCCGGGGAAAGGGCCGGGAGGATGAGGCGGACGCCAGCCCAGAGCAAGAGGGGGAAGTTACCAGGAGCCAGGAGAGCCGAGGTGACTTTGTCCACGCCCCAGTTCTCCGGCTTTGGAAAGTAGGTGGAAGGATCAGGCTCCACACGGAAGTCTGAGGCCAGGGGACCCCGCAGAACTTTTTTGACCCAAAGGAGGGAGATGCTGAGGGGGCAGGGCCAGGATGGTTTCATGCTGTTTGCGGGACAGAGACAGAGACAGGCAGGGAGAGACAAACATACGCATACACACACACACACACACACACACACACACACACACACACGCAGAATTGTCTCTGCATAGATGCGCGTGAGCTGGAGGGGAACCTAAAGTCTTACAGGCATGCAGGGGTGTATGCAGGGTGGTGGGGGTGCACGCTCTCCCTCAGGCCCCCCGCCCCCGGGGGAGATCCGTGAAAGACCCCTGTCCGGAATGCTGTGGTGCACCGGGGTTGTTTAGGGAGAACACGACGCAGGAACCAGTTCTGCTTTGAGGCCGCTGTTCCTGTCCTGTGTCCTCCTCCAGGAGGGGACCCTCATTTTACCCTCACCCCTCCTGGGTTCCAGGGCTGCAAGTGAGGCTGGCAGCTGGGCCATGGAGCGTCCTATGTCTTTGGCCAGATTAGCACAAGCCTGCCTTCCCGGGGCTCACGGTGTCGTGGGAATGTCACTGGCCAAGGTTTCCCCACAGGGTCACCGGGAACATCTTGTACTCAGGCAGATGGGTCCAGGCTCAGGGAAAGCAGAGAATGGGGGTTGGAGGTGGGGGTAGGAAGCAGCAGTAGGCCACGCATGGGTGTGCAGACACGGGGATTTTACGTCCACGGAGGACAGTGTCGAGCGTGGGGAGCCAGCAGCCAGGGGTGGCCCAGGGAGGCCTCCCCATGAAGAGCCGTCCACCCCAGCCTACAAAGCGGGACACTTCCGACCAGGGCACTGGGCAGCCGCAGAGGGCTCCAGGAGGGCCATGGGATGGCAGCCCCTCTGTCCGCCCCATGTCGACCCGGCTGGCCGGAGGCGCAGCTCGGGGGGAGGCAGCCCAGACGGGCCTCTCCTCAGACTCCCAGAGCTGCCAGCAGATAAAACTCGGGGACCCAGAACTTGGGGACAGACACCGGCAGCTTGGCTAGCTGCCCTCTTGTGGGGGAGCACCGTCAACCAAGCCCAGCCCCCCCGCGAGCAGCCCCCAAGGTTTGTCCCCAGCAGAGATCACAGAGGCTCACATCACACCCAGGGGGTGCTGAGACCCGGAAATATCGTCTCGACTCCGGACTCCTCTGACGTCCAGGTGAGCACGGGCCCGTGTGAGATCCGGCGGCCGATCCACCCACAGAGACGCGCGAGGCCGCCGTCCACATGCATTAGACGGGCTGGGTGTCGTGGTTTCAACAGAGTTGGTTTCCTTCGTGATCTTAGGTATTTTATTGTAAAACACTATTCTAAGAGAGCGTCCCTGGGCTTCCCAGGTACCCGAAGGAGTCACACAGACCACGTCAAGACCCCCGAGATGGAGGGTGGGACCCCCGCTCTGTCGCACGGACAGGGGTTCCCCACATGAACTCTTAAAGACGATTTTCTGGTTTCCCCCAGATCGTCCCCCTCTGTGGCCCTCTGTGGCCCCTGTGCCCTCGTCACCATCCTCTTCATCTGCTGAGGCTGCCGGGCAGAGCGGGCGTCCCATTCCCACAAGCGGGACGCTCCCTGGCCTGCTTCTGGGTAGGCTTTTGTCTGAAGCGCTAAGGGCTTGGACTGTGGAGCAGGACTTCTCATTTCAGGCTTTCGGAGCCTCCGCGTCGGCTGGGTGCGGGTCACAGCAGAGTCCCATCCGCAGGTGTGGGCGGGGCCTGAGCTCCGGGCCCTGGAGGCTTGCCCGAGGTCCTACGACAGACAAAGATGGGAACAGTGAGCCGCATGGGAAACCCTCCACTGGAGAAGGCTCCCTGGTGGCGCGTGGACAGCGAACCGTTAACCAACGAGTTCACGCATTTGACAGGCTCCTTGACCTGTGGCTGGGACTCAGTGGGGACAGGACAGGCGGCCTCTTCGTGGGGGGACAGACTAGTCCTGGACTCCTGTGTCAGATAGGGTCTCCCTGGAATTCGTGCAGCCTAAGCCCCCGGGCCCCTCTTGGGCTCAGCTGTCTCCCAGGCCATGGGGTTGCTGATGTCCGAATGGCTTTCCCCACAAACAGGAACACCGGCAGAAAGTTCTGGCCCCATAACCCGTTTCCACCCCGAATATTCAGTGACAAGTACTGTGGAGGGAACGCGTGGAGAGATTGGAGACAGAGGTGGGGGGTAGTGGAAGGACGGCAGGCCACGGGGGCAGACAGAGCCACAGGTCTACACTGGCCACAGCCAGCTCGGGGCTTGGCGTGAGCTCCCGGTGGCCAAAGTGAGAACTGATCAGGGATGGGAACTTCATTAGAAGGAAGTTTTGTTCTTGGAGGGGACACCAGTAGCCAGAGTCTGAGGTTCTGCTGGTTTGGGGGGGGGGTTTTACCGCAGCAGGACCGTTGTCCTAACTGATGTAATCTGTTCCTGATTTTTCACTCGTGATTTACCAGTGTGTAACAGGATGTTTTGATGCAGATCTCCATAAACGCTTTTTGAACAAGGCTGTGTGTGACATGTAGACCCGCTCCCAGCCCAGACGATGAGCTGCTCCTTTAATTGGGCGGGGGTGCTGGGCAGCCCCAGCCGAAGCAGCCCTTGGGATCCTTCAGGACCCAGGCTCAGCACCCGCCCTCCCCGGGGCTCCAGCCTCCCAATCTCAGGTGAGACCCCACTGGCTGGCGCATCGGCCTCCCTCCACCCAGGGCAGGATTTGGCAAAGAGCTCAGGGGTCCCCACAGACAAAGGCCACTGGAGTCCCCAGGGACCTGGGAACCTCAGATCTCCTCGTCCTTCACACTAGGAGGTAGAGACATCACAGAGGGCCCAACACCCCGGTGAGGGCAGAGCCCAGACAGGTCCCTGTCATTTCTGCCCTTAGCCTGACCCTTTTGCCTTGAGGGGACCCCACTAATAATGGTTCCCCCCCACTCCCCACCCCAATGTTAGCTGGGTCCAGGCTTATCCGGGTTCTGTGAAGGATCTGGGAACCAAGAAGGCCGTTTAGGGATCTCAGCCCCATCAACCCAGCCAAATGGCCATTCTCCTGGGTTCTCAGACCAGGGACAGGCTTCAGGCCCAATTCCCAATCCCATTCCCCCTGGACGCTGGGATCACTCTTACTTTCCCAGCTGAGCCCTACCTGGGGGCTCCCCCGCCCACTGCCGGAGCACTTTCCGAGGGCCGAGCAGCCACGGAGCTTGTGAAGTGAGTACTTCCCGACCTCACACACGACAAGACCGAGCTCCCGGTGGCCCTGCAGCCCCAATGCACGTGTGCATCCCAAAATGAGCCCCAGTAGAGAGGAGAGGCCCGTGCAGGCGGGGGATCCCTCTGGCTGGTCCCTGGGGACTGGGGGCCCCTGTGATTTGGCGTTGGGAGAGGCATCAGCCTTCCCTCCCTGACCACCTGACTCACAGAACTCCCCAGCCCCGTTTCCATTAGGCCTGGTCTCCAGGCTGCTCTACTGCTGGCCAAGCTGATCGCTGACCCTCTGAGTGTGTCCCTTCCCCACCGCGGTCCCAGCTGCTCCCAGCTTCCCAACTCTTGCTTCTGGGGCCTCTGGGCCCCAGTATCAGGAGTGGACCAGGAAATTGGACCCTAGGAGCCCGCCCTCCCTGGGAGTGGGGAGGCCCCACCGAGGCAAGGGGACATCGGAGGGTGACAACCAGGGAAGAAGGACGTCTGGGGCCTGGTGTCACAGACACGAGCTCGGGATTGGGGCAGACACCTTTATTCCATCCTCTTCCTGCCCATGGCTGCCCCGAGTGAGGGCAGCCTGTGTGAGCATCTGGGACAGGGGCCCACAGGTCATGCTGTGGCCTCACAGGGCTCAGGTGAGTGGGAAGGGGGAAGGCGGGTCTGCTACCGACCCCCCTTGCTCTGGGAATTATTCTGGAAACCTGGCTGGGCCACAGTGTTGTCTCTGTGGGTGTGGACGCTGGCAGGCTGGGGCAGGTTGGGGGTGGCGGCCAGGTCTGCTCCGTGCACACAGGGCGGACCGGTGCTCCTGATGACCCAGTGAGGTCACTGGAGCGGCCAACACACGCCCCAAACGGAGCAGGGCCGGGGGCCCGGGGGGTGACGCTTTCTCCAACGATGACTCCGGAATGGCACAGTGGCTGGGACCCACAGCCGACTGGCCGGGACAGAGTAAAAAAAACTCTTGCACACACATAACCCCCAGGCACACACACGGGGTCAGCAGAAACTCGAGGCCCTCACACGATGCTCTGCCGACCCCCGGCCCCCTCAAACTCCGATGAGCCCGAGCCCCGGCCCCGGCCAAAGTCAATGAAGATCCCTTCTGAATCCGAGTCCACGGACTCCAAGATCTGGTCCACCAGGTTCTCTGGACTGGAGGAGGGCGGGGAGGGGTGGGCCGCGCCTGGGCCAGGCTCGGGGGGCTGGGCAGGGGGGTACAGTCTGCTGGGGCAGGGCCCCGACTGGAGACCCACAGAGGATCTTAAGGCCCCAGGGGGAGCCTGGCCAGGTGTGTCAGAGAAGCCCTGGGGTTCCGGGCAGGACGTCATCTCTGAGACGGAGTGTCTGCGGATGCCGGGGCCGCCAGCTGCTGCTCCCTCAGCCTCATGCTCTGCCACGGGGTTCAGCAACGGGGTGTTGTAGCTCTTGGAGCGCACCACTGGGTTCTTGGCCAGCACATCCCCTGAGCGGGAGCGGCGCAGGAAGTGCTTCTCTGCAGACAAACAGACAAAAAAGGTGTCAGGCATGAGATTGGGGGGGGGCCAGGGTGGGAAGTGGTCACTTGGCAAACCTAGGCACCTGAGTGTTCTAGGCCCTTCCTGGGGCCAGAGTCTAGCCAGCACCTACTGTGCGCTTAGCTCCGCATGAAAGGGCAGCCACAGGGAAAAACCCTAATGGTGCAGATCCTTGGCCCAGCCCCTCGCGCACCCCTGCAAGTAAGGGAGAGTTGGCTCTGACACTGTGCCTGTCCCTATGTGACTTCTTCCTTCCTTCCTCGGTCCTAGCCTCAGCCTGGATGGGCAGGAGGTGGGCAGGGGGGGTGCGTGTCTGGAGGCACAGGGTTTGGTTCAAACGCGCACATGCCTCAGTTTCCCCACTTGTTGAAAGTTAAAAAACCTGTAGCACTTCCTGGAGTCCTAGTGTGTGGGGGGGAGGGGAACAAACCACAGGTCAGGTAGTGGTTAAGTGCCAGGATGGGAGTGGGGAGGTTGAGAAAGGGTCTTTTCACATGAATTTGGGGCTGGGGTTTTATTCGGAGTGTGGTGGGCACGCCGGGGGTGCGGGAGAGGATGGCCATGGGGTGGGGGGCTGGACTGGGTGGGGGGCCAGATCTCAGGCTCCCACTCAGGGCCCTGCAGTTCCCAAGACTGGCCACCGTGTGGCAGGGCTGAGCACAGTGAGTGGCTCAGGGACCTTTCCAGGGGCAGGAGAAAGGTTCTGCCCAGTTCTCCTAACCCTAACCCTAACCCTGATCCTAACCCTAACCTAACCCTAACCCTGGAGGCTGGGCTTTATGCCAACAGGCAGGTGGGCGCTCCCCAGCGGCCTCTGTGCCTCTGGCCCCCAGTCCAGGATGTTCTTTGTGCACCTCTCCCCAGGCCTGGCTCCTCCTCCCTCGGCTCACCCATCACTTCCAGTCTGGCCTTTCCCAGCACGGCCCTCACATCACTTGTGTATACGTCCCCCTGGAGACTGGTCAGGGGACTGTGTACTCATTGGTCTGCGTCCGTGACCGTGAGAGCCCATGTGGGTGGGGCCCGGCCTCTGTGGCTCCCCCACGGCCAAGAACGAGGCAGACACATAGTAGGTGCTCAGTGTACACAGGGGAATGAGCCAACAGACCGTCTGTTAAAGGAGCAACGTGGCAGGCCTCCAGACAGGCCAGACAGCCCCAGGACGCCCACCTCCCTTCTCCCCTCTCCTGCAATTCCCCCGAACAAGCTCAGTTTCTTGGGCTCCAGGCCTTTGCACATGCTGTGTCCTCTGCTGGCCAACGCTTGCCTTTCAGGATTGAACACAGACGGGCCCTCACTGGGAACACAGAGCTCTGCGGGGCTTTCAGGGGAGTCATCCCATTACCATGTATGGTGTCAGCCCGACAAGTCCCCTTCAGTTCTTGTAGCTGGGATCCCGGGCCCTGCGTGTCCAGGCCCAGCACACAGCCGGGGGACACTCAAGACAGGTCTGCTGCATTACCGGAAAGCAAATCCCCAGCGGGACCTGGCTGTGGTCATCTCCTCACTGGGAGGCCTGGACCCTGGGCAGAGGTGGATGGGGCCAGAGGTTACCCTGCTCCCCGCCCCAGGCCCAGGCAAACCCTACCAAGAATGCAGGAATGTGTGAACGGGCCCTTGCTGGAGTAGAGGCCGTAGGTGCCCAGGTAGGGCGACACCACCTTCTGGATCAGCGTCTCTAGGCGCAAGTAGTCCTTGGTCACGCCCCGGGACTCATGCACTCCCTGTGAGAGAGGGAGGGAGACGGGTGGTCACCAGACAGACAGCATGCTCCCTGACGCCCCGTGCCAGCCAGGAAAAGCTTGTCCCCCAGGGCCAGCCAGGCTCTAGTCCAGCCCCCAGGCAGCCCTGCCCCTCCCCTGCTCTACACTGATACCCTTGCCAGGCCCTGCCCACCTCCTCCTCCCTGACCCCCCTTGTCCAGAGCCCTGAAGGGATTTCTACCTCCTCCGGTTCCATCAGAGCCAAAGCTGGAAGAAGGCAGCCGCCTGCAAGACAGACTTGGTCTTGCTGACAGGGAGGGCAAGCTCTGGGCCCCTAGCACCCCAGCAGAGGGCTGGCACACAGTAGGCCCTTGGTGAGTGCTCACTGAACGAAGGATGGCTGAAGAAACGGGGAAGACAGCCCTGCCTGAGGGGCTGCCAGAGGCTCACGGCACAAGATGCCTTTAGAACCTTAAAATGGCAGCTATGGACAGCCTGAGTCCCCCTGCCCCAATGCCACCCATGAGAAACCCACTTCAGCAGAGAAGACACCCCTGGACTATAAACAAAGTGTTGAGGGGCATGCGGGCGGCTCAGGCAGTTAAGGGGCTGACTCCTGGCTTTCGCTCAGGTCACGATCTCAGGGCTGTTGGATCGAGCCCCGTCTGGGGCTCTGTGCTGGGCATAGAGTCTGCTTAGGATTCTCTCTCTCATTCTGTCCCTCCTTCCAATGAATGAATGAATGAATGAGTGATAAATAAAAGCGAAGGGTTGAGAGAGCCATGCCGACATCGGGAGCAGCTAGGTTAATTCCAGACAGGGTGGACGTCAGACCGAGGAAAGTCATCAGGGGTCAAGCAGGTCACTACGCAACTGTACAGAGGGCAGTTCTCGGGGAGGACGGAATGACCCCTAGTGTGCCTGCACCTGACAACAGAGCTGCAGACCGCATGGGGCAGAACTGCTAGAGCCAAGGGACAGACCGTTCACCCGCTTGTGGAGCAGAACAGCAAGCAGAAACTCGGGAAGGACACGGGCACTCCGCACTCCAGGCGCCGTCAGACCGCTGCCCCTGCCCCTCCCGGATGCAGAAACACACGTCCCTCCCGCAGTCTGCCTGTCAAGTCAGACCACATTCTGGGCTACAAAGTGCACCTTCACAAACTTAAAAGGATGTAAGCACAGCGCCTGCTCTCAGAGCACAGCGGCATGAAGCCAAGGAGTCGGGAGCGGGGAGATAGCCGGGAGAGCCCCAGATACGTGGAGATCAAACAACTCACTCACTTCTAAGTAAGCCACGGATCCCACAGGAAATCTTTTTTTTTTTAAAGATGTTATTTATTTGCCAGAAAGAGCACAAGCAGGGGAGGCAGCAAGGAGAGGGAGAAGCAGCCTCCCCGCTGAGCAAGGAGCCCGATGAGGGACTTGATCCCAGACTCCTGAGATCATGACCTGAGCCGAAGCCAGATGTTTCACTGACCGAGCTACTCAGGCATCCCCCAAAGAGGAAATCTTAGCAAGTATCTTAAAACGTTTTGAATGAAATGAAAATGAAAACAGATCCACACTGATGGGACGCACTGAAAGCTATGCTTGGAGGAAAACTGTAGCATCCAACGGATACATTAGTAAAGGGAAAACCTGAAGTCAGTAAGCGTCTACCCCAAACCAGAAAAAGAAGAGCGAACAAAGTCCAAAGAGAGCGCAAGAGAAATAATCAGAGAGAACTCACTGAGACTGAAACAGGAAATCCTCAGGGAAAATCAAGACAACCAAAAGCTGCCTCCTCAAAAAGACCGGGAACCTCCCTAGGCCTCCCGCCAGGCTGACTACAAGAGAGCACACGAACTCCCACCGTCAGAACGGAAGAGGAGCCATCACTACAGATCCCACGCCCCTGGGAACTGCCTCCGCCCCCACGATGCTTCTGCTCAGCTGGGTGTTCCGTGAACTTCACGTTGTTTCACTCGCCAGCCATGTAAAGGACGTCTGTCTCTGCTCCCCACTGCACACTGAGAATGGCGGCCCCGGGGCTGCATTACCTGTGAGCACTCAGAGGCTGAGCTGCTCCCCTGGCTCCCGCAGGAGCACGGTCGCTCTGCTGGGGAAGCACGGGGCACACGGTAGGCCCTCGACACATGCTAACCAGCAGCTGTGACTTCAGGTCCATCTGGGACTCGAAAAACAGTGGGGACAAGCTCAGTCAAAGTGCCGGCCAGGTGGGGAGTGGGGCAACAGCGAAGGGGCAGGAGGGCAAGTCCTAGGGATGATGGGACCAAGCGGAGGAAGCTGCATGAGGCAGAGAGGCCACCAGGGGGCAGCACCGCCCCAGTCTGGCCACCAGCCTGGGGTGGGACCTCCTTGGCTCCAAACCCCTGTCCACCCACCACAGGCTCCCAGAAGCACCACAAAAGGCTTTACGTCTGATTTCTCCCCACTGTCCTTGAACCTGCCCTGGAGGCAGGAAGTCACATAGGCGAGGAAAGAGGCTGAGAGGCACAAAGTCCTTAGAGGGCCCCTGCTTCAACCCAGCCAGGTTCCCCTAAAATCCTTGCAAAAACAGTAGGTCATATGGTTGCCAGGACGACCACCAGCTCCTGCCCTGTGCAGTCCCTCGACCCTCAGACCTCCACATTCATCAGCACCTTCGTTGCTCTGGAATCTTCACTGGCTGCCCTGGACCCTTGGACCAACCTTGCAGACTAATTCAGGTTACCCACGTGCACGGGGGGATGAAGAACAAGGAACAGGACTTCGGAGCCGTCAGATGTGGGTGAGGCCAGGCCTTGTTAGCTCTGGGCAAATGAGGACTCTATTTCCCACCTGTAAAATCGGGTGGATGACAGTGCCTACCTCTGTCCTTTCACAGTGGGACAAGCTGGCAAACTGTAGGGTGCTGTGCTTGGGATGCAGGAGTTTGCAAAAGGCCCTGTTTGTGGTCCATCAGACCCTCTGCTGTTTTGGGCAGGCCACTCATCCCTAGCTGCTGGGAGCAAGGCTGCCAACAGCGTGTGGCTGCCCCCTTCCTAAAGCTGCTCTGGTGGGTGAAAGACACCCCCACCAGAAACACCTGGAACCGTTGTAGGGAGGCAGCCAACAGCCCCGACGGCTGACTGGTACAGGGTGTGAAGGCATAGTCCCTGCCCACTGGGGACACCTCTGGGCCCATCCACACTCCTGGGCTCCCCATGGGATGAGGCTGACGCCTGCCTTCTCTTGAACTCCCATCTTCCCCCAGCACCTTCTGGGCTCCTCCTGCTTCCCTATCTCCTTACAGGTTTCTCCTGACAATCTTCTTATTGATGAGTCCTATGGACCCAGACCCTTGCCTCAGGCTCTGCGTCTGGAAGGCCTGGCCTCACGCCCAGCGGCCTCCTTGCGGCGCCACGCACCTGCAGCACCAGCAGCATCTGCACGATGGCGGGGGGCACACGGGCATGGGTGCGGGCCAGCGCATCCTCCAGCTTCACGCTCAGGGTGATGGCGTTCCGGAAGTGCAGCAGGGCGAGCTGGCGCACGGACGGCTCCTTGCCCTGCGGACACAGAAGGCCGCACCCCACCCCGCTACCATCATAAGAAACTGCTGCTTCCCCGTCTGCCAATCCAGGGCCAGATCCCAGGGCTACGGCCCTATAGATCCTTGGGCCCCCTGCCACCCCACCCTCCTCCCTGGATGGCCCTGTCCCGAAGAGAGGCCCCAGCCAGCTTCCTCAGGCAAGGAAAGGGTCACTGTCACATACCAAGCCCCTACTGTGTGCTGGGAAAGACCTACTATGTGCTGCCCAGGACTTTATAGGGTCTGTGGGTGGGTGGGGGACTGTCCTTCGTTCCAAATTGTGGGTGGGAAAGCAGGTGAGGGGTCCAGGGATGTGGCCATCCCCGGGCTGGGGACAGCATGCTGGAAGGCTGGGATGGGTGGTTGCCTGGGCCTCGGGGCATCACACGGCTGCAGGGGCCATTCACCTGCACTGGGTAGAAGATGGCCTGCAGCGTGGGCAGCACGTCACTGAAGAAGAAGTCCCACGTCTCTGCCAGCGAGTCCAGCAGTTTCTGTCCTGTGGGCACAGGAAGCTGTCACTGCTCACCCCTCCCAGGCCGGAGTCCTCTCTCCCATCCGCACGGGAGCTGAGGGCCAGGCTCTGGGCCCTGGAGGCGCCCTCCCCGTCCCCCAGGTTGACAGCACACAGCCCTTAGCAACTCTGTGGCTGGAGGTCCATGGCGTAGTCACCCCGTACCTCAGTTTCCCCCATTAATAAAACAGGACAGTGAAAGGGCCGACCTCCCAGGGCTGTGGGGATGAAATGAGCAGAGACAAGGTCCTGGCTGGTTCCCATTCCTTCATCCCACACCAGTCCTGCACAGGAACGCCCCCCGCCCCCGCTGGCAGCTGCCACACATAGCCCTGTCTCCTCCCAATTCCCACGGTGGCCCCCCAGCAGGCGGGCAATCTGTCCACCCATGCAGATGTTTGCAGAGCACCTATACTGGGCACTGGGGACCCAGCAGAGCCTCCAAGATCCCCAGACCCATCACAGGACAGGGAAACAGGACCCTGAATAGCAACTAGGAGCGTGATCATCTGCCCATTGAAGGGGCGACCTCAGTGGGCACACCAAGAGATGGAGCCTCTGAGAGGTTCAGGTCCTTCTCCTCCAGTGCCCTGGTTCCTGCCAGCCCGGGCTGCCTGAGCGGGGGTCAGAGGAGCCAGGGAGACCACGTCCAAGAACAGTGCATCCCAGGTAGGGAAGGGAACCAGAGAAAGTTGAGAGGAGCAGGCAGGGAGGGCTTCCCGGAGGAGGTGCTGTCTGAGCTGATTTAGGAGGCTGGATTGGCTGGGTTGATGGGACATCCTCAGTGTGGGAACCACACAAGTAGATGTGCGGAAAGTAGGCATTCAGTCAGGCTCTGGGTGTTTCTGCCAGCCCCGGGAAGGAGCCTGCCTTCCTCACGGTGGGCAGTCTCTGAGGGATGAGGACAGATGAGGTGTCCCCAAGCTGGGCCTGGACTGCTGCAGGACATGCAAAGCTCTGAGTGCTCAGCCCCCCTGCCTGGAATGAACAGAAAGCTGGGACAAAGGCCTGCTGGGTCTGGGCTAAGTGCATCCCAGGACGTGTCGCCAAGGCCCCTGCAGCTCGGTGGGACCCCCAGTGGGTGGCTGGAGAAAAACGGGGTGTGCTGGGGTCTCTGTGTGAGGAGGGTGAAGTGCCACATCCTGGCTGGCCTCCCAGACCACACCGCTCGTGCGGGACCGCCTCGAGGTTTCCATGGGAACCAGCGAGCCGAACAAAGGCCTTCGCCTCTTCTTCCTACTTTCTTTGGGCTCTGAACCCCACACTTTCACTGCCCGTAGAGGCCCCAACTCTGTGTAGGTGCGGGGGCTCTGGGAGGGGAGCCTGGTGGGGGCAGCCCTGAGAAGCCCGTCCAGCCCTGTGGGCGGCGAGGGTGGCCTCTGTGCATGGCCGATCTGTGGGCACTGGGGCTCTCCGCCCAGCGGCCAGCTCCCAGCCCTCCCCGGGGGCCCACACCTAGCTCTGTGGAACCCAGGATGGGTGGGTGCTGCCGCCCACAGGCCTCTGTCTATACAAAGGTCCCTTTAGGTCCCCGCCGTCCCTGGTGAGAAGAAAGACGCCTCAGTTCTCTGGGCCGGCCGTGGGGTAGCTCTGGGCCCGAGCCAGGCCAGCGTCCGCAGGCCGCTCTCCAGCCCACGGGGCGGAAATGCTGTGGAAAGCAGATGTTGTAAAACAGCCTCGAGGCCCCGTCAGAGCTGCAGGCGACCAAGAGGCCAGGAAGCATGGGCTCGCCCACGGGCCAAGTTCTCCACTGGGGCCTGTGGTCTAGGGCTGGCGACGAGGGCGGGGTGGGGGGGCTGTTGGGGGTGACAGCGTCAGGCTGCCCGGAGCTGGAGCCCTGCTCTGCTTTGCCGTGGGACCCTGGGGAGTCCGGCAACCAGGCCTCCATGTGATGCTCCGTGAGATGGGTGTGAATGTCCTCCTGTGCACTGGGTGGAAGGCTGCTGCTGCGAAGCAAATGCTCACTCAGTGTTGGCCATGGCCATGGCCGTGGCCACCGGTGCGCCCGTGCGGGTCGCCATGTCTGTGCTGAAGCTCGGCAGGACTGGACTTCTCCCCAAGTGTGTGGGTCCTCTGCCCTCCTCTGTTCTGTCCGAGCGCTGAAGGCCCGGGAGACTGGAGCATACCAGGCTGATCTTGGCTCAGGTCTCAGCCCTGCGATGACCACAGGGCCATGGAAAAGGCCACAGTAGGGGCTCCGAAGAGGCCAGCCGGCCAGGAGGTGGACCCAATGGAGTCAGGCCCGCCGGCCAGTGTGTGAAGGCCACTGGGGAGTCTGGCCGGATGGCCTGTAATGGGCTGGGATCCCTGACGGCCAAGAGAGGGCCAAGCCCAGGGCCTGGAGCTTGCAGGAGGCCCCGGGTTCCTCCCTGGAGTCGTCGGGTGTCTGGCCGCTGAGGAGCCATCCTGGCGGCAGCTCGAGCCCACTCCTGTAAGCCCGGCTGGGAGACCATGGAACCACAGCCTTAGGCGTGGTCCGGGAGAGAGGCTCCATGGCAAGGCTGTCCCTCCAGGCCTCCCGTTTCCAGGAATTGCTGTGCTTGGGAGTTGATGTCCGCGAGGCTGGAGGCGGGTGGGCGAGGCCACCCCGGCCCCCAGCAGAGGCACGGGTGAGGACATGGCTGGCCACAGGGAGCGATCTCAAGGAAGAGCTGCTCTGGGAGCCAAACGGGGCAGAAGGTGGACAGGGCAGGCTCCAAAGGCCGCCCGTCGGGGAGTGGCATTGGCGACTGTCCCCTGGTATAGACTGAGGGGGGCAGAATGGCTTCCCGACAGACTACATTCTGAGGCCTGACTCAAGGGCCGCTGCTTCCACGGAGCCCTCCCTGACTGCCACGGCTTTCCTTCACCGCCATGCCTCACACTGAACTGTCACTGTCCGGTCCGCGTCTGTGTGCCTGACTAGACTGTCAGTCCCCGGTGGACAGAGCCGCCTCTCCCCCATCTCCAGGCCCCCAGAAGCTAGCTGGGGCCTGACCCGTACTGAGCACGTGGGTGGAGTCCATCCAGCCCCACGGTGCTAAGACAGGGAGACCGAGGCTGAGGTCTGTGGCTGGATGGGAAATAGGAGGCCAGGACCCGTGGCCCCTAGACTGGGGCTCTGTGCCTGTCCCTGCGGCCTGGGGAGGCTGGATGGGGTGGACACGCCCCAGAGGGTGGCCTGGTGACACGGCCGCTGTAGGCAGGGACCGACTAAGCTGCACAAAGCTTCTCTTCTCTGAAGCTCCCAGCTCCCCTGGACCAGAGCTGGTAGGAGGCAGAGGCGCTGCTGGAATGTGCCGAGTAAGGAGGGGGCATGGGAGGGCACCTCTACCAGGTGCCAGATCCTCAGCGCCTCGACTGCTGACTCAGTTGCTGCCTCCTCCAGGAAGCCAGCCTGGACCCCGGCGGTCTGCGTCTCTCCCTCCCCTGGACTGTGGTCCTGGCGGTCCTTCCCACGCTCCCACCTCAGCGCTGCCCCCCGACAGAAGCAGGACGTGCAGAGAGAGCAGGGGACACGCAGCTCTGAGCTCACCCAATGCACACTAGGCCACTGGCCTCAGTGTCCTCCTCTGGGAAATGGGATTATACTCCTTCTTTCTAGGATCAGAGTAAGGGCTGAAGAAGGAACCAAAGTGGCAGTGGAACCAGGTTGCCGCACAGAGCTGCATGGCCTGGGTGCCTCGGTTTCCCCGTATGTGCAGTGGCTGCAGTGGTATCTCCCGAGCAGAGCTGCTGGGAAAACCAGTGAGTTAATAGTTGGAAAACACTCAGGACGGTCTAGCAGAGAGTAGGCAAGGTGCCCAGTGCCTGGTGCATAGTAGGTGCTCAGCGAATGTTCATGGAGCCTGAACTCAGCACCAGGTCTAGCACAAAACTGGCCTCAGCAAAGGCACTGTGGGCTGAGCTGGGTCCTCCCACAATTTGGTCATTTTCTCTGCCAATTCACTCCTACGAGGAGAAACCACTTTGGTCGCTGCTCCCTGACCCAGGGACACGGGAGCTGGAGGGTGCTGGGGGAGGGAGGCGGAGCCCACCAGGACCCTTCCCTACCTGCTGAGGCCCGGGCCAGGCAGAGGTGCGCTGGAGCTCAGGGGCCCCCAGAAGGGCCAAGGGCATGTGCGCTGGGGTCAGACTGGCCTGGGCTTGGATGCACTCTGCTCTCTACTCAGTGCGGCTGCAGACATACCGCCTGTCATCATTACGCTGCCCCCAGCTAGGAAACGGGCACAGGGACCCAAAGGTCTCGTGGCTGGGTAAGTGCATGGAAAGAGAAAACTCATCTAGAAGGTCCAGCCCCAAGCTCAGGCCCCAAACTCTGACGGGACAGCAGCTCCCAGCCAGGTGACAGCCCCCGGCTCCCACCTCCTCCTTCGGGAACATTAGGGCAACCTTGGCCCTATGCTAGCTCCCCGGTCCTCAAAGATCCTGTCTGGTTCTCCCAGGCTGCTGGAATGGGGTTCATTGGCACCAGAAGGCCCCGGGGGCAGGCTTTCCCGATTTCTCAGCCCTCTTGGGCTCCAGCAAATTGTGGGGTGGTGGCGGGAAGGGCAGATTCTCTCCCCAGTAAGGTCCCCTCCTGGAGTCAGATTGTGGCCTTGCTGCCCCTGCCACTCTCCCACCTGGAGCCCCGGGGGCACAGGCAAGGCAGGCAGGGCCACATGTTCCCGCAGGGACAGCGGCAAGTCCCTGCACTCAGTCCCCGCTGTGGGCCGCCACACTCACCCTCATAGAAGCGGATCTTGTCCCGCAGGATCACCATGCCTTTCGTCAGCAGCTGGTTCTGGAAAGCACACATAGGCAGGCCGTTACGGCCCTGGGGGATGGCCTTGGGCAGGCAAGGCCCCCAGGAGGCCTCCCCCTGCCCTCCCTGCACCCCACCAGCCGGCAGCTGAGGCCCAGGGGGGTGGGACTCACCCATTGCCCCCAACCTCCCCCCTACTCAAGCAGAGCTTGAACCCCGGCTTGCGCTGGGAAGACACTGACGGCCGGTTCCAGGTGTGCGTGAACTCTGCAGGCTCACTGGCCAGAGGAGGTGTGACGAATGCAGCGTACGGCAGGGCCTCAGCCACAGGGGCCTCAGGATGCTGACACCAGGCCAACAGCATCACTGTGTGCTCGGGGAGCAGGGGCCCTGCAGTGACGGGGACATCTGGAAGCCCACTCAGTGTTCCGGGAGGTGAAAAGCCCGGAAAAGAACCAGCCCCCCGTCCTGCCATGTGTCAGGGCACGCACAGCGCGCAGACTTCGCCCGCTTCATTGTCATTAACCTGCCTGACGACCCGCACCAGCTGGACAGGGAAACTGAGCCACAGCAGTGCGGCAGTCCTTGGAACCCAGCACACTGTGGACCCACGGAGAGGAGGTGACCCCGGTCCTTTCTGGCCTGCTCGGAAAGCAGCCCCAGCCCGCTGGAGAGCGCAGACCACCCACCTGCAGGTACTCGGTGAAGAACGACCCCAGCTCTGTCTTCAGGAGTTGCCTGTGGGAGGGAGGGGACAGGACAGTGAGGGACAGCAGGGCTCAGAGACCAGGTAGCGCTGATGGGGGGGTCACTGGGGGCAGCAGGAGGCCGACCTGCTCAGCCCAGGGGGAAGTGTGGGCATGCCCCCACCCCCAGTCCCAGTGCAGGGGCAGGCGGGGAGGGAGGGCTGGGTGGGCCTCAGGCCTCTGTGGTGTTCACTGGGGCTCTGCGGGCTCCCGCCAACATTGCACATGAGAGGAAGCTGAAGGCTCTCATCTCTGTCAGCCTTGGAGCTGTGTGTGTGCACGCACATGTGTGTGTAAGCATGCACGTACACTTGGGGGGGCACCAAACTCACCATCCCTCAACCCCACTAAGAGGGTGTGCTGGTCCTCAAAGGCCTTTTCAGGTGACTACACTCCACCCTCCTGGAGGAGCTCAAAGCAGGACTACCCCCCAGGACTGGCTGTCCCCAGTGGGGGTGGTGGGGGTGTGGGCCTGGGGGCTAAATGAAGCAGAGAGACCGAGAGCAGGTGGCTTGTGTCGGTGACTAGCACCCAGCACCGAGCAGCCGGCATCCCGGGAACCTGGGGCTTCGGGCAGGATCTAGAAGGTGCAGAGACGATGGCATGGGGGCATGGAGAGAGACACAGCTGGACCAGGCTGGTCACAGCCCGAGGCTCACGACAGCCTGACGATGGTCCTGGTGTCCCTGGATGGGACAGATGGGGACCTTGAGGGTCAGAGCAACTGTGGCTGTCTGGGGGCAGCCCTAGGACCCTGTCCCGCGCCCCTGGCACCCTGTCCTACACCCCTGGCTGGCAGCTCCTCTTAGCACAGGACCAACCCCATGTCACAGCCCGACGCCATCCCCGCGTCACTATGACGTTAACAGTGGCCACATTCACCAGGCTGAACTCCACCTGGGACAGCAAGGGGGTGTGAAGCCAGTGGCCCCTGTGGTCAGCCCCTGCCACGGTCCCTCCACCTTGTCCCAATTGTCTGGGCTTCCAAGGACCGGATGTGACCTCAGCTCAAATGACCTCAGCTGTGTGACTCCCATGTGCAGGCTCAACGTCTATCTCAGGTCACCACATGCGTGACCCAAGGGGCCACTATGGGCATGGCCAGAGAGCAAAGGGCAAGGAGGGATCAAGGCTGAGCCTAGGTGAGTCCCCTCCGCCCGTCAGGGGCCAGACAAGCCAGCCCCAACACCGCCGGTCCACCATGTGACTCTGGGCAAGTCCCCGCCCCTGCCTGAGCTCTGGCACCCTCCTCTGGGACCAGAGACATGCCAGGAGGTGCGGAGGAGGGTCTGGGCTGTCAAGTGAGATCACGGCTTACCCTGGTGTATGCAGCAGGTGCTCAGTAAAGCCCTCCTTACTCTCTCCCTAGCCTGTGGTTAGTGACGGTGAGTACGAACACGAATGAATGAATGAATGAATGAATGTCTCCTTCAGGGCCGAGCAGACCCTCTGCCCCACTGCTGGCTGCCTGGGGCTCCCCACACCTCCCGATATTTCCTCTTAACTCACTACATGAGCCCCTGAGCAGGGGTGAGGGGCATGGCTGGGCAAGCATCTCCCAATTTGTGCTGTGCCCGCTGGCTCTCCTGGCTGCTGGAGGGGAGCCACGCTCATTCTACAGATGTGGAGAATGAGGCGCTGGGGGGCCTGCAGGTTAGGCGGCTCCCGTATCTGCAGGGGAATGCCCAGGCAGCCTAATCACCCCAGGACACCACCTGGGGAAGGCGCTGCTGGGGGAACAGCCCAGGTGTCATCGGAGGGGAGAGGGACAGCCACAGAAAGGGGCTGGGGGGTGGGGGGCAGAGGCCAAGGCCAGGGCCACCCTGGCCAGACGGGTCTGGTGGCTTCTGGGAGCCACAGGGCCAGTGGATCTGCATTCCAGAGCCCAGAAGGCAACAGGAGGGGCCTCTCAGGACAGAGCAGGTAGCTGAGCTCTTGCCCATGAGCTCCCACGCAATTCTCCTGGCCCCGGGCAGGCCAGGAGCTGTGCCATTGAATACTGGGGGCATGGTGTACCTGGAGGGGTGTCCTCTGCAACCCAGAGTGACTTAGTCTGGGAAAACTATTATGCAAAGTGTGCCTGGTTTGGGGGCCTTTGGAAAAGGCAGTCAAAGGAACGGGTCAAGAGAGAGGCTAGACCAGCACCCTGGATGTCACCAAAATCGAACCTTCACGGTTCGGAGAACGCCGCCAGGAACGTGAGAAGACAAGCCACGGAGCGAGAGCAGCTGTGCAAATCAGAGCCTGCTGAAGGTCCAGACCCAGAATATATAAAGAACTCCTGCGACTCAACAAGAAAGAGATAAGTCATCCCATTTATAAATGGGCCAAGGAGACACTTGCCCAGAGACGATCTGCAGATGGCCAACAAGCCCATGAAAAGATGTTCCCATCCTAAGTCATCAGGGAAGTGCAAACCCCAGCCACGAGATGGCTCCTCACGCCAGCAAGTGCCATTAGAATACAAAGTCCCGAAAGTCAAGTCGCACATGCAGGGAAGAAGGTGGGGGCACTGGCTGAGGGCTCCGGGGTGGGAAGCGAAGCTGTGCAGATCAGCAGGGCAGCCCCTACCCCGCCCTGGGGGTGGCCGCAGGAGAAACGAAGCCACATGTCCACAGGTCACAGGAAGCCCTGCGGGTTCACAGCCACGTGCGTGTCACGGCCGAGGGGACAGCTATCAGCAGGTGAACGGGTACAGGGAATGCGGTTTCCCTAGCGTGGAACAGTATTTGGCAGCGAGAAGGAATGAGGCACAGGCACAGGCTCCGACGCGACGAGCTTGAAGGCGTCAGGTGACACGGACGCGGCCGGCACAGGCCACGCACACACCAGGTGATCGCACGTATGCGAAACGTCTAGAAAGAGGCAAATCTACAGAGACAGATGCTCGACTGGCCTTTGTCAGGGGCTGGGGAGTGACTGTTAATGGGGACAGGTTTTTATGGGGGGGGGGGGGGAGTGGGTGAGAATGTTCCAGAATCAAACAGCGGTGAGGACTACACAACTCTGAATGTGCTAAGAACCACGGAACTGTACATCTGAAGAGTGAATTACGTGTCGCTGTGCACACCTATGTGTGTACATGAAAACGGAGGGAAGAAAGGGTGATGGCTGGACATCAGGGTCCTCTGCCTGTTCACCTCCTTGGCCTTAGCCTCGCCAGGGCCCACCGAGGAGCACCCCCACTTTCCCCCATCTCACCGCATGACCCGGAGAACTGAGGGGAACGCCTGGGTGGCAGCGCCATCAATGGCTCCTGTCACCAGGCTCCCTTGTGGGATCAAGGCCAACGACCAGTCATGGGTATCACGCATAATTCCAGTCACTTGCTTTAACATGGCCTTGGGATGGAGAAAGCTGGCGTGGGGGCTGGGCAGGGGGCGGTCCCAAGGGACCCACAGGCCCTGGGGTCGGGGACCTGAGCCCCAGCTCCACCGACCAGCCCTGTGGGCACACACAGCAAGTGACCTCGGCCTCAGTTCCCTCCCCATTATCCTTTATTCCCATCTTGAGCTGATGAGGAGCTGGGCCATCTCCTTTCCCCAGATGACACAGGGACTGGGTAGCATAGCCCAGAGTGAGAAGGGAATAGCACAGAGAGAGGAAATGCCTCCTTGAGGCAGCTGTGTGACCCTGGGCAGACATCCTGACCTCTCTGATCTTCAGCCTCCTTCACTGCAAAGCAGGACTACCGGGGCTGGCCTTGCTGATTCCCTCTGAGTGCTGGATGGTGCCCCGCTCACAGGAGCACCTTGGAGGGGCTGGTCCATCCTGGACTCCCTCACCAGTGCTCACTGCTTGGCCGTCCACAGGAAATGAGGGGCATTTGGCCGGGCTGTAACTGCCTTTCCGGGAACGACGCTCCCGTCATTAGGCAGGTGGGTCCTTCCTCTTTAACAGAATAATATCCTTCATGATGTTCAACACCAGCAGGGAATGTGGGCGTGATCTCGAGCCCCTGTCCAAGTCCCACCCTGCTTCCCCTGAAGAGAAAGTCCTCGGAACGGGTGGGGGTGAAGGTCCACCAGGCCCAAGAGCCACACGACCAGGACCTGGGTCAAGGTGCACACGGTGGCCCCGGGTCGCTGCCCACGGCGGCCCTAAGGGCAGTATTTCAGGCGTGGCTGGGGAGGCAGGGCCTGGCTACAGCCTCCCACCCCAGCACAGCCTTCTCTGCCACTCACAGGCCCAGGATAGGACGGGACAGGCAGCCACTCACCGGACGCCTTCGTTGAGGCTGAAGAGTTCCTGGTCAGGCAGCCCCTTGCGCTGGAAGACGGCGATGACCCCGTTGTGGATGCTGCGGGTGGGAGAAAGACGAGAGTCATCGAGGCCCCGCCACCCCTCCCCACCTGCCCTCTCCTGCCCTACTTGGCTCAAGGGACAGAAGCGGGTCTGGTCAGAAGCAGGTGCCCATCTTTTCTCTTGTAAGGCAAGCCATGGAGAGCAGGGGTCGGCTGTCCTCATGGGACCCTGTCCATACCAAAACCTTTGTCCCCACCTCGACCCCAAGATCTACATCCCTAGCCCCAGCCTCCCCAGAGCCCTAGGCCTGAGTCACCTCCGAGTCACCTCTCCAGGATGTCTTCTGTGGCCTACACACACTCTGCTCCCCTTCCTGTGTTCTGGAATCTTCTATTCCCAAGGGTACCCTTTGATCACCTGTGCCACCCTGTAACGTATCCCACCCTGACACTCACCATGGGCTTCCAGGTGCCCCTGAGCCGGCCCTTCCTGACTTCTGGTGTCCCTGAGCACTGAACACTCATGCTCTGTGCCCCACTGGGAAGTGGCCTCCAGCCACAGGGCCTTTGCACATGCCAATTCTGCTGGCTGGTCCTCACCCACTTCCATTATCTATTCCTTTTAGATCACACACTGTTGCCAGTTTTTCCAGACCGTCACTGTGTAACCATGTTTCTGTGATCTGATTAACTTGTTTCCATCACTGTCTATAGACCCGAAGAGCACAGAGCCTCCTTGTTGGAGAAACTTGTAAGCATTTGGGGAAAATTCATTCTTGACTCTCCCTCACCCTCTGAAACCAACCGACCCTGAGGTCAGATCCATTTCTACCTCCTGGAGCTCTGCTGCGGCCCTCCCATCCCCTCTAACCAGGGCCCCTCCTTGCATGCCTGGACCTGATCCTACCAGCCTGCCTCCCCGTTGCCCCCAGTCACTTCCCTGACCAGGGTCTTGTGAGGAACCCGATGCCTGCAGATATAGCCCGAGGCCTGGACATGGCATTCGAGGCTTGTCAGGAACGGCCTCTCCCTGCATTCCGGGGCATCTTACACTCCAGACTGCGAGAGTGCTGGACTGGCCAGAGGCCACTGTACCTCTGGGTCTCTGCACCCACTGCCCCTTCCGTCTAGAAGGCCCTTCTCCTCCCTGTCTACAAGGTAAGCAGCTGTTCATACTGAAGACTCAGCTCAGAAGCCACTTCCTCCAAGAAGCCCTCCTGACCCCTTCCTTTCCCCAGGAAGACTCCTATCCTGGCACTTTGCTGATTAACTTTCCTATCAGCACCCCGCCCTCCCTTGGCCACACACTTCGAGGGCAAGAACCATGTCTGGGTGGCTCCTCCGCCCTCCACCCAGGCCTTAGGCACCGCTCTGAAGGTCACAGACCCACTGCCGTGACTCTCAGTGTGGAGGGAACAGCCGGGGGCGCACTGCCATTCCCATCGCAGACCACGCAGCAGCCACCAGGCTCCCAATGCCCTTGGCATTAGCTCTGCCCTTCCCAGGAATGCAGACTGGTCCCCCACTTCGCAGATGGGGAGACAGAGGCTCACAGAGGCCATGTCTCCTGCGGGAGGGCTCAGAGCTCCTCATCCAGCAGCTGCCCCCTGTCCCCATGCAGCGGGGTCTGAGCCCGGCTGGGGCAGGACCCTGCACACCCCCACCCCCTCCCAGGGGCATGAGCAGCGAGGGTCCTCCAGCAGCTGTCACGCTGGAATTCGAGCAGCTGCAGGCTGACTCCCAGCCCTGTGGGGGCTGCTGGGGGGCAGGAGGCACAGGGCAGTCCTGGTTACCGCCCTGGGGCCCGGGGGCCCAGCCGCTCCCGAGGTGCAGTGGGGACCAAGGACAGAGGCCCTGAGGTGGGAAGAAGCCTGGGCAGGAGGAGTCACACATACCTGCTCCTAGCAGCCCTGACCCCGCCTTCCTCCTATTCCAGGCAAACTGCCAGAGGGACCCCAGCCCAGAGGTGACCCTGCACTCTGTGGCTTTGGATGGTGAGGCCGGCTCTCTGACCCTCAGAGAGTCACATGTGTCAGCCCCTCCTGCCTTGGGCCTTTGTCCTTGCTGTCCCTTCCCCTGTAGGCTTGCCCTCCACCCGCTCCCTGGACCTCAAACCCTCCCCTGGCCCCTCCAGGCTGGGCCCTCCTCCCTCACAGCTGAGTTGCAGAAAAAAATTGACCTCAGGGGTCTTTTAGGGGAGGGGTGGTCTATCTGCTTGACTATTTTGCCCCCGTCCTTGACCCCCAGGCTCAGCGCATCAACTGATCACCTCCCTTTGATTCCCGCCAACACCCATGTCTAAGCAGCCTCTGGCCCAGCCCAGGAGCCACCCTGAGATCCGCTGTCCCCTCCCCGCCCACCATGAACGCTGCCCACCTGTGCCTCGGCTTCCCTACGCACACCACGGAACTCCAGCGCCCAAAGGAGACGGTGCCTGGCAGTGGGGTGCCCGCGGGTGACACTTACGGGGGCATCTTTAGCTTGTCTCCGAGGAGGGGTGTGTCCCCAGCAGCTCCCACCACAGCTCAACCATCCGCTCTGTGGTTTTCTCAGTCTCTCCCTTCTAACCACCACACAGGGGGCCTGTCACACCCGAGGCTACGGAAGGAAATGACCAGGGTCTGGGGAGCCAAGAACTGCCCAGAGTCCCAAGAGCACGACACCTGGCAGAGCCCGCGAACCTGGCTCATGGTCCTCCTACCCCGGTCGCTGGCTCGGAAACTGCCTCCCTCGCTGCCCCGGCTGGACGGGCCCTGCTCCCTCTGTTCCTCCCCGGCCTGGGGCTAAGGTTCCCCTTCTGTCCCAAGTCCAAGTCAGGCCACCAAAAAAAACAAAAAAAACAAAAAAACAACTTGCTGTGAGCCACTCGGGGAGAGGAAGGGTGGGGAGCAAGAGGCCCACATGTGACTTCTCTTCCCCCCCAGCCACCCCGATCTGTGGCCTCCCGACAAGAAGTGGGCAGGACCGGTGTGGGTACTGGCAGATGGTCCCGAGGAAACCACAGGCGGCCTCCAAGGGCACTTCCGGGTGAGACCTGTGGCCTCTCCCCACTGGGCTGTCCTTTGCAGAGCCTGTCCCCCTCCCCTGTGCTGGAGGACAGGAGGGCAGGGCCGAGTCCCAGAGTCTCTTCACTGGGCCCCAGGTGGGCCTGGAGCAAAGAGGAGAAGGTGCCAGAGCCCTGGGGAGGCTCCAGGGCATCCCTGGAGTCTGTGGCCCAGGAGGGGGGTGGGGCACTGCCAAACTGGGAGAGGGAGGGCTCACCGTAGGGCTCCTGGGGGCGCCTGCCTGTGGTCACCCTGGTTTGGGCCAGAGCCTGTGTGGGGTGGTGGCTGAAGGAGACACCATGTGGGCCTCTAGCCCAGCATCACTTTTCTCAGGGTTGCCCACCCACCCCTACAGGAAGCCCCAGCAGAGGCTGAAGGGGTTGGGCCCACCACAACACCCGGCCTCTGGTCAGGTCAGCTGATATACCTCTGGAGACCCTGGAGAGGGTTAGGCTCCTGGGAGGACCTGGAAGCAGAGCCCTGCCTTCTCTGGTGCCTTCCTCAATGTGGGCACGGCCTCCAGAGGCCTCAGAGGACACACAGAGGGGGGCAGGCCTCTGCCAGGTGACCCCAGAAGGCCGACCTGGACCCTGAGCAGGGCTGCCACCTCCTCGGGCCCCTCCCCCTGGTTTCCAGGCCTGGTGTGTCCCACCGGCTTCCCAGTCAGCAGTCCCTGCGAAGGGACAGCCATATGAACGAGGAAGGGCAGGGGACCTGGGTGCTACCAGGTTCCCGGGGCCACCCAGGCTCCTCCACCCCACCTGACAGCCGAGGCTCTAGTCCCCCCCATCCTATCTATCCGAGGGTGACCAGATGGAGCCCCAGTGTCCTCGCCGAGGGATGAAGGGGGGCCCACCCAGCTTTGCTGTAGCCACCCCTGGAGCAGGGCCCATGGCTTCCTCTCTACGTCCAAGTGAAAGGCACAGGAGGTACACAACTTGGAAGCCGACTGTGCCCCCTGGCCAGGCCCCGATGGGACCCTCTAGTGAATAGGGTGACAAAGGGATTTCCAGCCCCGTGTCAGCTTCATCGGCTCCTCAGCAAACGGGTCCCACTCACACCCGGGTTTCAGTCCGCCTAGCTTCGGATGCTCGTCCCCAGCGCTAACAGGGTTCCTGGCTGAGCAGGAGGGGTCCGTGCCCACCCACACCCCTCCCTGGGCACCCAGCAAGGGCCCTGACCCGTGCCAGTCCTGACTGTGGAGGGGACAGTGCAGTGTCCCCTTCCCAGCTGTGAGGTCGGTTCTGGGGCCATGACGGAGCCTGGGCTGGGGTGTGGGAGGTGGTGGCCCAGGGCACTCGCTGGTGCAGGAGGAGGGAGGGAGCAGGGCGGAGGGGGGAGGGGTGTCAGCATCACAAATTCTACCAACCTAGTGGCTTCAAAACAACCCAGATGTGTTTGCTTTCCTTTCTGAAGGCCAGGAGTTCCAAACCAGTTTCACAAGGCTAAACTCAAGGTGTTCTGTGACTGGCTCCTCCTGGAGGCTCTAGGGGAGAATCTGCTTCCTGGCCTTTTCCAGCTTCTGGAAGCACCCACGTGCTTGCCTCAGGCCCTTTCTTCTACGCTCACAGGAAGCACCGTGGCACCCTGGCTCTCCCTTCCCACCCCGCCACCTCCTCCCCGACTCCGAGCCCCAGGCCTCACTCTCGGGAAGACCCTTGTGACCACACTGGGCCCCCACCGCGAGACCCTTCACGTCATCATGCCTGCAAAGTCCCTTTTTTGCCTTTAACATAGTCGCAGGTTCCGGGGGCCGAGTGTGGACATCTTCGGGGCCATTCCTCTGTGGACCCCACCCAGATGGCCCCAGAGGGGCCGGGAGGCTCAGGGCCCAGAGCAGCCACTAGGCAGGGAATGGGGTACAGGGAGCCAAGCCCAGGCCCCCGGCAGCCTCCAACCCCCACCCCCAACCAAGGGATCACCCGGGAGCCTCCACCGGCCCCTCAGAGACCCTCCCCTGAGGTGGTGTCAGACATGCAGGCTTTGGAGCTGGACCTGGGTTAGATCCCAGCTTCTGCCCAGACTCCCTGTAGAGACCTGGGCCGGTTCCCAAACTTCTCTGAGCTTCAGTGTCCTCGCCTGCAAAATGGGGCTGCTGAGCCCCACCTTTGAGGGCCGCTGGGGAATGACAGGAGCGCCTTCAGGTCTGACGTTTGGTCAGGGCCCCTCACTAAGTGAGTGCAGAGCTGGGGGTGGGGGCTAGCATTGCTGGAATCAGGCAGAACATTCTCATTCTGTAGGGGTTCCGCAGGCGGCCCCTGCCCAGGGCAGGGGAGTGCCCACAAGGCGCTGCCGCCAGCCTCCAGGTTCTTACCACCAACACCCGCCTCTCTTGGTCCCTGAGCGGTGACCTCAAGTCAGACCTGGGGTCACACCCCCAGACCCTGACATTAGTATGGGGTCTTTTTTTTTAATGATAATTCTTTTATGTATTTATCAATTTATTTATTTACTTTTAGGGCGCGGTCTTGAGCAAGTCCGTTCCCTGGAGCTGAAGACCATCACCCCTGCCCTGGAGGGAGACGATGGGGACGGAGGGAGTGTCCCATGCAGGGCAGTGCGCGTGGCACAGCACAGGCCCACACTCCCCCTGCCTGGGGTCTCCCCTCCCACACCTAGAAGCTGGGACAGATGCCGGGCTCTCCAGGCCCAGAGCATTCAGGCCCGGCAGGGAACGAGAGTCAACATGAACTCCATTAACGGTTAACACCTCTGGCCCAAACACGAGCCCAGGGGACCTGCGCTGGGCAGGCCTTTCGGGCTGAGGTTTGGGGAGCTCCCTCTCGCCCCTCAGCTCAAGAGCATAACCTCCACGGAACTAGTGGCCCCACCCCTGCACGGGGTCCAGACCGTGTCAGGAGCTAACTGGGGCGGCCCAGGAGGAATGCATGCACAGAGAGCCATGTCCCGGCCCTTGACGGAGGTGGGGGGGGGGGGAGCTGCAGGTGGGAACAGCCTGTCTGGGGCCCTGTGCTTGGCTTGGCTCAGGGGACAAACCCGCCCAGCAGAGAAGGGCTGAGGAAACAACTGTGCCTGGCAGCCAGCACTCACTCAAACACTTCCCGTTTCTGCACCCCCGGAATCGAGATCCTGGAGGAAAGAATGACAGCACTCACCTGTCTCCCAGTTTATCTTCTCCCGGGCACTAAATGTGACCTGCGGTGACCTCATCCCTTTACCTGTGTCCCTGTTTATCTCCTGACTCCCTCACCCAACTAAGGAAGCTGTTCTTTCTCTGCTGACTCTTGGCCCCAGAAGCCGCCCAGTGCCAGGGAGCACAGGAGGGAACGAGGGAACAAATCACAGGGATGAATGTCTCAGTGAACGCACAGATCCCGTTCTCACGAGAGCAAGCCTTGTATGTTGGCCCCATGTCCAGATGAGGAAAGATGCACAGGAAATTAGTGGATGCGCCCAGGGTCACTGTGGTGGGCTGAATGGGGTCCCTGAGAAATTCGTGTCTACTTTGGAAACAGGGTCTCGCAGATGGAGTTAGGTAAGGATCCTGAGACGGAATCGTTTGGGATGAGGGTGACCCCAGAGCGAATGACTGGTGTCCTTCCAAGAGAAAGGAGAGGGAGTTTCGATCACAGACCCAGGAGAGGCCACGTGAAGACAGAAGCAGACTGCCACAAGCCAAGAAACCACCAGAAGCTGGAGGAGCAGAAGGCTACGGAGGGAGCACTGTCCCGCCGCCGCCTTGGACTCCAAATGAGGAGTGCCCAGCTCAGCCAGGCAGGCCCTGAAGACGAACGAGGCTGTCCTGTATGAGGGCTGTTGTCCTGCCCCGCCTGGGGCACTGCAAGGAGGGGTGGCAGGCAGAGACCAGAGTGGACCCCCAGCCCCACACAGCTCCCACTCAGGGAAGGGCAGAGGAAGGCGCCCTGCCTCTCCTTGGCTCGGCACCCTCTGTCTGGAGAGGAGAGAGCAGCGGCTCGCGCCTTACCGGGTCCTACGTGGGTGACACTAACATGGGCAGGTCTGCTGGGCGCTCTGTGTCTCCTTCTGTACCTTCAAAGGGGAGATGAGAGAAGTAACTCCCTCTCTGGGCTAAGGGAACCGAGGGACCTAAAGGCGTCGGGCGCATAGGAGAAGTACAAGACGTCAGGTGGGAGCGGCCAGGTGCCCAAGGGATGGAAGACTCAAGCCAGGGGAGAGGAAACGTGTTCTTCCGAAGTCTGGCAGGTGCTGGTTCGAAATGCCATTAAGTGAAAAGCAGTTGAGGGACTCAGGTGGCCTTTTTCTGCAGTCCCCTCCCGGAGCTCCCCAACTCAGAGCTGGCCCCAGGGTCACAAGGGCAGGGGGCTGTCTAAGCCCTTGAGCCGGGGCCCTTCCTCTGTCTGCCCCCCCCCAGTCCCTACCATGTGCTGGGCACTGCGCCGAGGGCTTGAATATGTATGTTTGCATTTAATCCCTACAACAGCCCCTGAGGCGGACACCCTTATAAGCTTGTTTTATGGCTATGGAAACTAAGGCCCAGAGAGGTTGATTGACTTGCTCAAGGCCACACAGTGGGGAAGAGGCGGAGCTGGAAACTGAACTAAGTTTGTTTGGCTACCACTAAGCGAAAGCAGAGACGTGAGAGAGAGAGAGAGAGAGAGAGAGAGAGAGAGAGTGTGTTGGTGTGTGTGTGTTGGTGTGGGGAGGGGATCAGCATCTATCTCCTGAATTCTGAGACAGGAGAAATCAACTCTTGGGACATTGTGCAGTCAGTGGGTCACTGACATTCTCCCGTGACAGACCTTCCTTCACTGTCTCCACATCGGCTCTGTAAGGAGGGATGCACACACCCACTGACAGGGAAACTAAGGCAAACCCAGCCACAAGCAGTCCGCAACCTGGTAGGGGACAGAAGCCAAGCACATGGATGATGGTGTCCTGCCTAGTGCCCAGACAAGGGTCTCAGGCTGGTGGCCCTGTGTCCACTGGGATGCTCAAGAAACTCTCCTTGGGTGGCCACACGGACAGCCGGGTTCCTGGGGGCCAGGACCACAGCCAGTGGAGCATCTGGCAACAATTCCCTGCCAGGTGTGTGTGTGGGGGTGCAGCATTCACAGCCCCCCTGAACAGCCTCTTGCTCCGTGCCCCACCCCTCCCTTTTCCTTTTGGTGGAAATGTCTACTTTGAAAAGGGATCAGGAACAGACACGCTGGGGAATCCCACTACATAAACCATTTCTTTTCCGGATCCCAATCTCGCTCTTCAAACAAAGCTTGGGGGTGGGGGGACTTCCCACGCCCCTGCTAGTCTGGGAAAGGCCCCCAGGGGGGAGGGTCGTCTCAGGAATGCCAGGCAGCTGCTGCACCCCTGCTGACAGCTGGGAGGACAAGGGGCCGCTCAGGGGAAGCTACCCGCCCACCTCCCTCCGACCAAAGGGACCTTTACTCGGAGACAGGAAGCGCAGCGGCCACCCACCGACTGCGCCCTTGAGGCTCATCTGCTCATCTGCGAAATGGGAAAAACACTTCCTGCTCGATTTACCTCCCAGATGGCCACAAGCACCGGGGCGCAGACGTGGGAAGACCCCCGGGTGCGAGGCAAGCACGCGGGTTCCAGGCCCACCCCGTCGCCCACCAGCTGGGCGCTGCAGGACGAGTCCTGAGTCCGCGGTCTCGTCCCTCCCTTCCAGAAACACGTTACATTAAACTTCCCTGTCCGCCCGCACAACTCCCGCGGAGCAAGATCTTTGCTAACTGCGAAGTAGCGCGGCGCTCAGGGCTCCATTCCTCGCGCGCGGACCGGACAGAAGGCTCCCTCTCCCCAGGCTCTGAGGTCCCGGGCCCGCCGGGCGGGCCCGGAGGGCGCGGCCTTACCTGTTCCAGGTGGCGTTGGCGCAGGCCCGGCGCTGCTGCGTGCCCCGCTCGTCCGCGCCGGCAGTAGCCGGCTCTCTCTTGCCCAGGTCACTGAGGCTGGGCGAACTCATGAACTTCAACCTGCGGAGAGTCCTCATGGTGACCCCGGCGGCCCGCTCCGCGCCCACGCGCGCCCGCCGCCGCGCCCTGCGCCACGCCGCGCCGCGGGCCCCGGCCGGCACTGAGCCCTCTACGAGGAAACTTGGGCGAGAGCAGGAAGCCGAGCGGCCCTCCGGGGTCCCGCCCCGGCCCCGCGCCTCCGCCCCGGGCCCCGCGCCGGCTGGCCCGCCGGGTTAATCATTGCTTCGAACGGCCGCAGCGTGGAGCGCCAGAAGCGCGGCCCGCAGCTCGGACCCGGCGCAAAAGGAGGTGGGGGCGGGGCCGGGGGCGGGGCCCGGTCCGGGGGCGGAACAGGGGTGGCCCGGGGGGGGGAACAGGGGCGGCCCGGGGGGGGCGGGCGGGAGAGGAGGCGTGGCTATGCCGGGCCGAGGCGGGGCCTCAAGCAAAGGGGTGTGATCAGGGGCGGGGCCTTGAGGGCGGGGCCACTAGTGGGGACGGGGTCTGCGCCTCTTTGGCCATGGCCGCCCCAAAGCCCCCTAGGTGTCCACTTCCGGGTCAGGCTTGGACCCCTCGGGTCTTCCGAGGGCCACCTATGCCCGCAGGAGCCAACACTCATGGGACGCACAACCCAACCCCAAGCGTCCTCCCTGAGCCGGCCACCGCAGCCACAAGCACAATGCTCAGGGACTCCTTGCCCCACCCATGCCCAGACCGCCTTTGCCAATGCTTCACCCATAGTCACCCCCTCCTGGCCATCCCCACAAAGGCTGTGCCCACGCGGATCCCTCCAGACCCTGCCACGTGAACGCAAACTCCTCCCAGTTTCTCTCAGGAGGTGGAGACCTCCTGAGCCCTTTGGGCACCGGGCCAGGACCCCACCCCACCGAAGCCCAGCCTGGGCATGACAAGTCACCCTCCCCTGGTGTGGAGGGGCCGCCAGACTAGGGCCTGGGGGGATCACCAGTGGCCTCTCCACCGCAGAAACCAGCAGAGCTGGCGCTCCACCCACCCCTCCAGGTATCAGGGATGGCAGAAACAAGTGGGTCCCCTAAGACTCGGTGGCTGGGGACAGTGACCCCAGTGAGGGTGGGCACAGCCTTGGCGCTCTCCACACTTTACACAGCACTTTTAGATGTTTGGCCTCAGGCCAATCTCTCTCTACCAGGTACGAATTCTTCTATTTATTTATTTACTTTGAGTACCGATACAGAGGTGGGAATGCTTCTCCCATTCCCCAGTGGAGAAGATGAAGCCTAGAAAGTGAAAAACCCCGCCCAGCACCTACAATCAGCAAATGGCAAAGTTGGGCCAACGCAGGCCTCCTAAGCACAGGGCACAGGCACGCAAACAGCCCCTCCCAGACCACCCCCTCCCAACCATCAGACAGGGCCCCACAGCATCGCTGTCCTCATCCTACCTCCTGGACAGTCCCTGGGGCCGTGCCTGTGCTGATCACGGTCTGCTGGCACCACAACCCCTGCTCCCTTGTCTTCCCATAGACACTTCCCCTGTGAATCAGTGGGGAGAAAGGAGCGGCGGATCCTCGAATCTCAGCAGGCGGTGGAGGCTCAGAGGCCACCCCCCCCCCACTGTGTCATACAGAACAGGGAACTGAGGCCCAGAGGCCCCTGATTCCTTTATGCCAGAGTATGTATTTCTCCTGCTGCCTCTTAATGGCAAAACCAAAGTGCCTGCCCCCTGAGAAAGGGGTTCCTTCCCTTCCCTGGGTGGGGGCTAGCTCATTTAGTCTGATGCGGTGTAGAGACAGGAGTCAGCTTGAAGGAGGCAGTGGTGAGGCCTGGCTCAGCCCCCAAATGGAAGCTCTTTTCTGCCGAATGTTCCAGGAGGCGTGGTTTGCCAGGGTCAGGCCAAGCAGCAGATGGGCTGCCTTTCGTGGCTTCGAGGGCCAAGAAAGCCCCGTATGAAGCGTACGAGAACCTTGCAGGGACACATGGCCCGGTTAAAGTCAATCGGCATTTCCCAAGCCCCTGCTGTGGGTCAGACATGACCCTCACCCTAGGGAGGCAGGGTCATGACCATCAGACTCCCCGCCCTGAGCTCAAAATTCGACGGAGTGGAGACCAGAGACTGTGGAATCCCGCAGAGCCCGTCATCCCCAAGGCAGAGACTCGCACGGCCTGGTGTGAGCGGACAGGCCAGGAAGGACTGAGTTGGCCCCTTCCTTACCCTTGGGGGTTTCTCACCTCTTTAGAAACACCCGTGGAGCCTGTATGCTCCCTCCACGCCCATCCACCTGCTGGGCTGGGAACCACACACCTCCCTCAGCGCCGGTCATCTCCTCCTTCTCCGGCTGCCTCCACCCTGGGTTAGGCTCCGGGGTTGCCCTCTGGTCATTTGGGGAATTTGCCGCCTTAGTGCCATGAGCCAGGAGGGCAGGGACTACTAAACTGGGTCAGCACTATGTTCCCAAACCCGGCACGCAGTAGAAATGCGGTGCTGATTGAGGAGAAGGGACAGTTAAACATCCGTGCACAGGAGCGGAGGGACGACGTTAGACCATAGGAAGGCAAATGCTCTGTTGAACGTGCCCCGCTGGACGCACGGAGGCAGAGCCACGGTAGCCACCAGCGGGGCAAGTGGGGCGGAGCAGGGCTGTGGGGTTGGACTCTGGGTGGGACGTGATGTATGGTGGTTTCCCAAGCCGGGGGTGGGGAGGGCTGGCTTTGTTTGCTGGGCACGCTCAGGTGGGTGGGCTGGCAGGCGGGCTGGCAGGCAGTCTGGCAGCAGGGGCCAGATCGATGTGGGAGGGAGGTGGACCCCTCTGGATGAGAAATTAAAGGGAAAATGGGTGGCATGTGGGTAAGGGCAGCCCAGAGGGGGAGGTGGGAGGAAGGGAGAGGAGGAAGGGCTGAGGGGGGTCTTGGTGGAAAGGGGGCTTTGGGAGCCGTGGTGGAGAGCAGCGTTCTGGAACAAGGGGCCAGCAAGAAATTCTAGAGGTAGGGATGGCCGAGGGCCTTCAACCCTGTCTGCCGGTCTGTGTTAAGGACATTTGCTGTCACCGTGCCCTAGCCCCAGCTGAGGACCTCCATGAAACAGCCCAGAGTCGGTGTGTATGGGACACTCAGGTGAAGGGGATGCTGCCCTGGGTTTGGGCAGGTGAAAGGCAGCGAGGGGTACAGGGATATGGGGGTGGGGCTCGACAGCCCAGGGGAGCAGCCAACCCCCCGGGCTGGAATCTGAGGCTGAGGCCAGGAAGAGACAAGACCATTCCGATCCCCCAGAACAGGGGACAATGGGGTGGCCACAAACTGAGCCAAGCCCCTAAATGGATTCTGCACAGCCTGCAGCGCGGGGGAAAACAAAACCCAAAAACTGTGCGCGGCCAAGGTTTTACAATGGAGAGATTGACATAGAAACCCTGATTTCTGGCTTCCTGGGAAGCATCAGATGACCGGGCCTCCTGGGCCCGAGGCCCCACGTGACAGCCCTCGCTGAGCTGCTGCCCCCGCAGGCAGGCAGAGGGGCTCTGGGCGCCCACCAGGCCCTCCACTTGCTTATGGGGACTTCCGGGCCTGATGAGCGGGTGGGGACTGAGTAACTATATTGCAAGGGTGGCCCTGGGCAGGGTCCATCTGCGCCAAGACTCACAGGAGGGAAATGCCCTCTGTGAAAGGGATTGGGAGACTGGGGTTCCAGTCCCCCACACTGTCAGAGTACCCTTGCTCTGGACCCATGCCAGGCCAGATAGCTCCAACCGTGCCCTTTCTTCCCCCAGGACCGGAGCTCTAGTCGTCCCTCCCACCCACCAGTGGGGTGTCAGGAGTTGGTACAGGGCCCTGGTCACCAAGAGGGACCCCAGGACTTGTCCTTCTGATGGCACAGAGAGCCCTCGACGGAGCAACCAGACCTGCGGTCCGCCAGCCCTGCCACCAAGTCAGGTGATTCCTAGGCCTCAGTTTGCCCATCTGTAAGATGGATGGGCTTGGGGGTGAGGAGCCTCGCTGCACCAAGCCCCCACGGATGCATGTGAAGGATGGGGACTGAGAACCACAAAGCCCTTTGGGGGCCACGCGCTCCCACAGACGTGGCCAGAGATGGGGATCCAGGTGTCTTTGAGGCGCACGGTAGGACTGTGCCGAGGGCCTGGCCCCAAGGTTTTGTCTTTACGGGAAAGGCACTGGGACCAACAGTGACCTGTGGGACGGGCCTGGCCCCCGTCCTCTGGCTCATGGCACCAAGACTTTGGATTAGAAAGAGCCGTGGGGTTTGTCCTGCTCCTGCGGGGAACCTCAGTCAGGATAATTGGGGGCAGGGCCTGGGGATGACTAACGAGCATCTGAGGGGACTCTCATGGTCCCCTGGACTCCGCGAACCCCTAAGCCTGGCTCAGCCCCTCACTTCCCGGACGGGCAGTCCGGCACGTGGCACGGAGGGCAGGAAGTGCTCGCAGGTCTGCTCCCCGGACCTCCAGACGTCGAGTCCACCAGGGTGAGCTCTGGAGCTCGGGGACGCCAGCCTGTGTCCGTGGGCCACCCGGAGCGGGGAGTCAGCCCAGCCCCACACGGCCGGGTCCGAAGGGGGCCCAGGGCCCGGGGCAGCCACCATAGTTGTACCGTGTCCTCCGGGGCCATCTAGGCTGGGGGAGAGGCACATGCCCGCAGCTCCAGTCAGCAAGTGGCAGCGCGGAAGCGGGAGCCAGGCCAGCCTGGGGGGTGGGGTAAGGGGTGGACGGCCGCCCGCTCTGCCACTGTCACCAGCGCTGTCCTCAGTCGCTCGCGCCTTGCCCACTTCCGGGCACCGGCCGCTGGGGGGCACGTCTGCCCCCTGGTGGCGAAGCCTGGTGCTTCCGAAGCCGGCTGGGACCGAGCCTCCTGCCCCCTGGGGGTCTTGGACGCAGGGAGCCAAGGCCATGGGAGGAGTGCCCGGCTCATTCCTCGCTTCTCTGGGGTGGACAGGGATGGCGACACGTCTGCCTTGCGACGGGGTGAGGTGAACGGGACAATGCACGTCACCATGGGGGTTCTGTGATGGCTCCGATTAGGGCCGTGCGGCAGAATGGGATTCCCGTCAGAGCTGTGATGCCGGCTGCCTCCAGCATCGCCCATGGTTCTGCTGGTCATCCCTGAAGGGCTTGCAATGTGCTGTCCTCAATGACTGTCCCGAGGCTGGACAGCTGCTCGTCATCCCGGGCTGGATGGGCAGCAGAAGTGACACCTGTCGTCTTCCATGAGTGGGGGGACCTCACGGAGACTCCCACTTGCCAAGCCTGGGGCCGGTGGGTCCTGCGCTCGTGCTGGTCCAGAGGAAATGTGCCTCTGGTGGCCTTAGAGCCAGGCTCAACTCTCAATACTC